GGCCCTAAAAATAAAGAAAGACGGCCATTTTTGGCCAACTATGCTCGCCGACTGCGAGGCATTCGCCCAAAAGTGCGAAGCTTGTCAAAGGCATGCCACTTTGAAACACGTACCTCCCGAAGCGCTTTCTCCCGTGACAGCACCCTACCCCTTCATGCGATGGGCCATGGACATCGTCGGACCCTTCCCTCTTTGCCGCATTAAAAGATTTTTGCTGGTGCTCACCGATTTTTTCACCAAATGGGTAGAAGCGGAATCGTTCAGTCAGGTCAAGTCGGGCGACGTAACCGGATTCATCTGGAAGTACATTATCTGCCGACACGGTATTCCCTATGAGATCGTCACAGATAACGGATCCCAATTCACTTCCTACCTAACCAAGCGGTTCTTCAGAAAATGGCACATCAAACTCAGTACCTCAACCCCGCGATACCCTCAAGGAAACGGCCAGGCTGAGGCTACCAACAAAACTATCCTCGATGGCATCAAGAAAAGGTTAGGTCGGAAAAAGGGACTTTGGGCCGACGAACTCGACGGAGTATTATGGTCGCATCGCACAACTCCTCGACGCGCAACCGGGTTCTCGCCGTTCGCCTTAGCTTACGGTGTTGAAGCAATGGCGCCATCGGAGGTCGGAATACCGACGCTCCGGCGAACAATGATGATCGCGGAGCCGGAGTTAAACGACACTCGGCTCCACGATTACCTCGATTGGAGCGAGGAACTACGAGATCAAGCAATGATCCGTATACAAAACTACCAGAACTCGGCAGCAAAGTATTACAACAAGACCGTCCGGGAACGCCGTTTTAATGAGGGCGACCTGGTTCTGCGAGAAGTTTTCGAAAACACCAAAGAGCTCAACGCCGGGAAGCTCGGAGCAAAATGGGAGGGCCCCTATATCGTCGCACGGCGAGTTCACCCAGGCGTCTATGAACTATCGACCATGGAAGGACAGCGAGTGCAACACTTCTGGAACGCGGCCCACCTCAAAAGCTTCTACTATTAGGTCGGGAATCCGACCACAAAGGCAGATGGATGCCTCACTCGGGAATCCGAGTCTTTCATTTGATGTACTGTGAACTACGATTGGCTTGATCCTCGAAAGAGGTACGTAGGCGACCATGATACATGGTGCAGCTAGCAAACAAAAAAATAAATAATAATGAACGCGCGATTGTCGTTAACGATACTGTTTTATTTGATAAAGTTTGTTACAAGCAGAATACACTCTTGGGCAAATACACTCTTGGGCAAATACACTCTTGGGCAAATACACTCTTGAGCCAAAACAAAAAAAAGCATTAATAAAAAAGGGAGAAGAAGAAGCTCATAATGGCCACTAGCCAAAGCGACCGACTTAGCCCCCCAAATCGACGAATTCGGGAAACAGGTCGGTGTCGCCGTCGTCCAACTGCGGAAGAGGATACTTCGCCTCCTCTTCGGCCCAGAAGGAACTTGCCTGCCTCGCCAGTTTGAGGATCTTTCTTCTGATCGGCACCCCCTCGGAAACCATCAGCAGAAGGAAACTCTCTACACCTTCCGCACGAACCCTTTGATAAGTGACTTCGGCCGCACTATTGAACGCGACAATATAGTCGCACAACCGAGCA